AAGAACTTTGTACTCATAAAAATAAGCTTTCTGGGACTGAAAAGGTGTTGATGAGTGAGAATATTAGTGCTGTTTTTCAGAATAAATTACCCCAAAAATGTAAGGATCCTGGAGTTTTTACTGTTCCATGTCAGATAGGGAGTTTAAAATTTGACAAGGCAATGCTAGACTTAGGTTCTTCAATAAATGTGATGCCCAAGGACATTTTTGAACAACTCCACATTGGAGACCTAAAAAGAACAGGGGTAGTGATCCAATTAGCAGATAGGAGTCACACCTACCCCGAGGGGATCTTAGAGGATGTCTTGGTTAGAGCAAATGACTTCATTTTTCCTGCTGATTTTTACATTCTAGATATGGGAGTTGATAAAACTGACATTCCCATTTTGTTGGGAAGACCGTTTTTGAAAACAGCCCGGGCTAAAATTGATGTTCACGGGGGTACTTTAACAATGGAGTTTGATGGTGAGATAATTAAATTTAGTCTTTTTGAAGCAATGAAACACCCTCATGAAGAGAATCAAGTCTTTGCTATGGATGTAATTGATAAAATCACTGAAGAAGTTTTCAGTAAATCAAATGACGATGCTCTGTACACTGTTTTAACTGAAAGTTTAGACCCTTTTGAGATTGAAAAATTAAATTTTTCACTTCCTGATGATGTTTGCTTTTATGCTGAAAATTTGTCTTCTGTGGAAGAGGTTAAAACTGTTTTAAAACTGAATTTGGAAATCCCTAAGACAAAACCACTTCCTTCTTTGATTTCTCCACCTGAAATTGAACTTAAAGAGTTGCCTCTTCATCTTAAATATGTTTTTTTGGGTGAAAATGGAACACTTCCTGTGATCATATCAAATCTTTTAAATGAACCACAAGAATTAATGTTATTGAGAGTTTTAAAGGAACACAGTGAGGCCATAGGCTGGACTTTAGCAGACATTAAGGGTCTTGACCCAACTTTGTGTAGTCATAGGATAAGTCTAGAACTTGATGCGAAACCAAGAGTTGAAAATCAAAGAAGACTTAATCCTCCTATGATGGAGGTAGTTGAGAAAGAACTTTTAAAATGGATTCAAGTAGGAGTCATATATCCCATAGCTAATTCAGAGTGGGTAAGTCCAATTCATGTTGTACCGAAAAAAGGGGGAACTACTGTAGAATTAAATGAACAAGGTGAGTTGATTCTTGTTAGAAAACAAACTGGTTGGAGGGTGTGTATAGATTATAGGAAACTGAACAAAGCCACTAAAAAAGACCATTTTCCGTTACCTTTTCTTGATTCTTTAGTTGAAAGATTAGCTGGAAAATCTCACTACTGCTTTTTAGATGGTTATTCTGGTTATATTCAAGTACCTGTTGCCCCGCAAGACCAAGATAAAATGACTTTTACATGCCCTTTTGGCACATTTGCTTTTAAAAGAATGCCTTTTGGCTTGTGTAATGCACCGGCTACTTTTCAAAGATGCATGATGAGCATATTTTCTGATTATTCAGCTAAAATAATGGAGGTTTTCATGGATGACTTTTCAGTATATGGAAATAATTTTGAAGAATGCTTGCATAATCTGACTTTGGTTTTAAAACGATGCATTGAGTCAAAATTGGTTTTAAANTGTTGATTTGTTTGATTCTTGTTCTGATAGCATCTTTGATAATCTTTTTGAAATAAATTCTGAACCAAATATGACAACTTTAAGAGAATTGGCAGCCCCTAACCTAAATGTTCAACCGCTTTCTATCACATATGCTGAGCTAGAAAAGCCTTTAAAACTGAATTCTGGCTTCATAAATTTACTTCCAAAATTCCATGGTCTTCCTGGAGAGGATCCCTTTAGGCACATCTTTGAATTTTTGATTACTTGCGGTGCTATGGTGCCTGAAGGGGTTGCTCAAGACCAAATTAGGTTGAGGGCTTTCCCGTTTTCTTTAGCTGATAAGGCAAAGGACTGGTTGTACTACATGCCAGCCGGTTCTTTCACTACTTGGAATGCTCTACACAAAGCTTTTTTAGAAAAATATTTTCCAGCTTCTAGGATAGGTTCAATTAGGAAAGAAATATGTGGGATTAAACAAATGATTGGGGAGAATTTTTTTGAATATTGGGAAAGATTTAACAAACTTTGTGCCTCCTGTCCTCAACACCAGATTTCTGAACAACTTTTAATCCAATATTTTTATGAAGGGCTACTTCCTACTGAGAGGGGCAACGTGGATGCTGCCAGTGGGGGTGCCCTGGTTAATAAAACACCTGAACAAGCTAGGGAATTATTTAATTTGATTGCTCAGAACATCCAACAGTTTGGTACTAGGGAAACATTAGTGAAGAAAGTGAATGAAATTGGTAATTCTTCTATTGAAAACAAACTTACTGAATTTACCAATGCCATTTCACAACTTACAACTGTCGGAGGGGTTAAGGGAAAACCTTGTGGGGTTTGTTGCTTGGAAGGACACCCTACTGATGCTTGTCCGACTTTGCAACACCCCGAGGTAAATGCTGTTTTTTATAATAATAATCAAAGAAAATACGATCCTTTTTCTAATTCTTACAATGAGGGAGGAGAGACCACCCTAACCTTAGGTATGGTAATGGGCAGAACTACCAGGCTCCTAGGGGTAATTTTCAGAATTTTAACAATCCATCACAACAGCCCTCTTTTGATAAAAACACTCAACTTTTGGAACAGGTTCTTAAGAAAATGGATGACAAATTCTCCGGTTTTGACCAAACTCTTAAGCAAATGCAAGAAAAGCAATCTGCCACTGAAGTTACAGTGAGTAATTTGCAAGCCCAACTTAACAATAGGTTTCCTTCTCAACCATTTTTAAATCCTAAAGAGAATTTGAGTGCAATTGAGCTTCGAAATAAGAAAAAACTGCAGGAACCTAGTTTTGTCAGTAGGGAAGAAAGGGAGAAAGAACTTCATCCAAATCAAGTTTCTTTTGAAAATAATAATGCTGAATTTGTTGAAAATGAAATCACTCAGGTTGAAAAATAGAAAGAAATTGATTTTAAAAATAGAATCAATGAGTTTAAAAATCAAAAAGCCCCTTTTCCCAGTAAGTTTCTAAGTCAACAACCTAAGACGAAGGAGTTAAATCAAGAGATGTTAGAAACTTTTAAAAAAGTGGAAATAAACCTCCCTCTTTTAGAAGCAATCAGACAAGTTCCCAAATATGCTAAATTTCTTTAAGAACTTTGTACTCATAAAAATAAGCTTTCTGGGACTGAAAAGGTGTTGATGAGTGAGAATATTAGTGCTGTTTTTCAGAATAAATTACCCCAAAAATGTAAGGATCCTGGAGTTTTTACTGTTCCATGTCAGATAGGGAGTTTAAAATTTGACAAGGCAATGCTAGACTTAGGTTCTTCAATAAATGTGATGCCCAAGGACATTTTTGAACAACTCCACATTGGAGACCTAAAAAGAACAGGGGTAGTGATCCAATTAGCAGATAGGAGTCACACCTACCCCGAGGGGATCTTAGAGGATGT